TTCTGGTTTTTAGTAATCCATGGACTTTTGTTGCTTGAATGCTTTGCTCTTTGTTCAAATGGCCTTACAAGATGTGCTGTGAAGTCCACTTAGCTCACAGGAGTTACAGCTTTCAATATTTGCTAGTTTTAATTTGTGTTGGTTCTCTTTTATGTGATGTTTTGATTTCTAGGGTAACTGAAAATCCACAAGGAGATATGTCTATGTGAGCATTGCTGGTGTCAATAATGTGCAGGTGCTTTTTAACAGGAGTGATATGATACTGTTTTTGCAAACAAACATTCACTCTATAGATGTTTGTAAATGACGACTTAAAATCAAATAGATTTATGCCCTTACTGGAAAAAGTTCATCCTGATCACTGTTAAAATACTCCAGTTGTTGAAATGTTGCACCTTGCCTAGGCACTCTCTTTCAATGTGTTTCCCAATACTGAACTGAAGCTTTCCTAGAGCAAATTAAAATTATTTTCCTCACCCTTCCCACCATGGCCTTCAAGGACAGTTGAGCATCTATTATTTTTAACAGTGTTTTGAAGATTGAATATTTTGATACTTTTGCAGAGTCTATCTCCATCCATTTTTCTCCTCCTCCCACCCCAGTTTAGTCCAAAGCAGTGAAATATTTCACTGTTCTCAGCAATGACAAATGCCCTCAGGCCACAGATCCACAGGCACTGGTATCATACTGAAGCATTTTCAATGGAAAAAGCTTGGAGGAGTGGGAAGTTTTTAAACTCCACAGAAGCTTTTTACATAAAGACAAATTTCACCCTCATCAATTCTTCCCTTGTTACTCAGAGTAAGGGTAGTGCTGGCTTTTGAACCAGCTGAGAGAGTCTGCTAGCCCTTGACTCTGAAATCTCTGATCACTATGTCAGTCATTGATTGTTCTACCTTTTGTGGTCCACGCTGAGTTGTTGAAGATGTTGAGGACGTGTGCACAATGTGACTTGTCAGCAGGCATGTGCAGCCTGTACAGAAGGCCCAAATCAGCTAAAATGGATACATTCATACTAGCACACCAAGGTAGCTAATTTTTCTGCTATCTTGGCTACAGAGCAACTGCCAGAGCTGCAAAGAAACTATATCAGCATAATTAGAGCATGTGTATCCAACTAAACACAGTGCACTATCCATATGAAGTGTTTGTAATGCAGAAATGTTTGGAAACGTGTAATCAAGGCAACTCTGTTACTGTTAACAGTTCAGCATGGAAAAACCTGCATAACAGTTGGGAAATAACATTATTTGGCTTGTCTCACAAGCCAAAACAATTTTGGTAACTTGCTTCAAGAAACCAGGATTTTTGTAAGGTCTCAGTGGCCATGAAGTTGGAGAAATTATTTGGATACCATAGGCTTAAAATTCTGTACCAGCTGAACAACAATACAAACATCCACAAAGGAAAATATTCAGTGAAAGCATATGCTGAGGAACAAAATACAGTCTTCAGTGCAACTATCTATGACTCTGTGTTGTCTAATATCATCAAATCTTCCCAAACAAATGCTGCACACCCCTCTGCTCAGGTTAGTCCTATGAGATATATATTACCAGTCAAAGTGGTGTAGTCATTTTCCAGGTTCTGATTTTGTTCCTCACTTATTACAAGTGACTGTTCTAGATAATGCAATCAACTCCCTTTCTGCTTATCTTGGCATAAGAAATATCTGTGTTTGGAGTTATGCCTTAGGATTTGAAAATAAGTCTTAGATATCACTTAGCTTCCAAATCCCTGCAGGAGAAATGTTGGAGGAAAAGGCTTTTCCAAATAAGAAACTGTCAGTAATAACCTCTGCTACAGAGGAGATATTTTCCAAAACTAGTGCCCCACAACGCTTGGGTACTTTGACTTAAGCTTCACCTTCAGTCTGGACTTGTCATGCCATGACTGGATTATAAACACCTTTTGTTCTAGGGCAACGCCTCAGTCTCTGATAAAAGCTGGAACTTAAATCTTCTTACTGTAAGCTACATTCATGTTTTGAAAGTTATGAGATGGATGCTCAGCATGTATAGCAGCATCCTATTTTCCAAGAGCTGCTTCCATATCTCAGGGTTTTCTCCCAAACAAAACAGACAATATGAATCACTTTCTAGAAAAAAAAAAAAAAAAAAAAGTTACTACTGTTTGGTGCTGTTACAATCACCTTACAATCATCTTAAGTTTCCCTCTCCCCAAGTGGCAGGATGCATGAGTGAAAAAGTTGTGTTGTCTTTTCAACTCATCACATAGAGTCCTTGTAGGATACATGTGTTAATCTTACAAAGTAAATGCTCTTCAGTGTCATCATCTCTGACCAGACCACATCTGAATGACATTAATACTCTGGTGAAATTGCAGTAATAGATTGCTTGAACTTCCCAGTCTCTACCCGTTCCTCATCATTTGCTGTCAGTTGTAGATTACCACGTGTCACAGCTTGTACAAACTCCTGTGTGAACCGATTGCTGAATACACTACTGTGGGTATTGCTGTCTGCAGGTTACATCCATTCCCACTGGAGCTCTGTACAGGGATGCTTGAGCACAGTGGCATTCTGTGTCATGATTTGATTTAAGTAAAACATTTCTATTGTAACCACCAAATTTTTAGCACAGATGCTCTAAGAATATTTGTCATTACTCATTATGTATTCTTTTGTTCTTACTGTGTTTCTGGACTAGCTTGCCTCTGTTTTACTTCCTCAGTGAATCCATAATATTAATTTAAACTATTACTTTCTTATTAATTCTGGTATCTGTTTTTCTTCTGCACTTTCTGCTTTTATTGAAGCATTTATTCTTGGAATGAGTAATAAAAAGCAAAGCCATGTCATCTCAGTTAAGGAACGGAATCTGTTATCAGTTTGCCTTCTCAAGATCTGGCAGTCATCACACACAAAAGAGCTGTTTTACTTGAGTTGGCAGGAATATTCTGGCATTATTCCTTTTCCTCTGAACATCCAGTGGTTAACACAGATAATGTTTAGGTGTGTTTCATTTAGCTTCAAGAAAATAAACAAGGAAATCAGCATTAAGGGTTATGTAATTCTTTATTTACATGTGAGGTCCAGTGAAGGACAGCTGCTTCCTGAGGGGCAGGGTGTGGGATCCCAATGCAGTAACCTGGCCAGCAGAGCAGAAACTGGCAGCTGGGCTCATTGCACCCCTAGCCAGGAATGAGGCAGCCCTAACCCAGGCATGGGCACCTCCCTGGGAACATGATGGACACAACTGGAGACTGGCCCTGCTGTGGTGTCACTGGGGCAGCAACTGATGGCTCTGGAGGATTGAAATAGGGTCCTGGACCCTAGACAAGACCCTGGACCCTGGGCAGCCCCAGGGTGCTGGACAGTAGTGAGGCTTGGTGGTGCCCTTAGGACTTGACAGTGAGATCTGAATCCTCTTATTGCTACAGTATTAAGACTGGAAAGATCTGGTTATAGCAAAAAGGTGACTGAAAGAAAAGCAAGTGTGCTTCAGTCAAAAAACACTGGTTCAATCACATCCAATGTTCTCAGACATTTGACTCTACTACCTTATTGCACCCTTTACCATGTACTTAAAATAGGATACTATATATGTGTAGAGCAATTGTTTTCACCATGTGGTTATCTCCTGACCACAGAGCATAGCTGCAGTTCCATCCACAGCCTTGTACCTAGTGGTTTTCATTGGCCACAAATCTTCCCTGCCCCTTAAGATTTTGAGCAGGGCAGTGGGAATCACCATGTTTAGGGAGTGGAGTCGAATGCAGCTGATGGAAATTTGAGCCTACTGGTTCCTCTCTCAGAAGTGACGTTTCCTGGTTACTCTTCTAGTGTGGTTATTTCAGATCTGTGCCATCCCAGTGCTCAGTCTTTCCAAGTGGTCCTCATACATCTGGAAACTTTGCCTTGGAGGAGTTTTAGAACTTCATTAGGTTCTAATGGTGATTTTTTTTTTTTTCTTCTCAATTTACCTTCAGTATAGTATTTTCAAAATTCTGGGAATTCTGTTATAAATGTATTTTCTTCTCTAAATTTTTAGTAATTCTCTTAATATCTTACCTAATGAGAAAGCTGTGTCCTAGCAATTGATACATAATGTCTAGCCATGAATATTTCAGCCTTACAGCCTGAAAATCAGATCCCATGGCATCAGAGAGGACGTTGTTGCCTAAAGCAAAATGAATTATAGTGTTTTGGGTCTGATTTCAAAGGTCTGATGGGGATTTTCATTTCATTTCATTTCATTTCATTTCATTTCACTGTTAATAATGTAGACTGTTTGCACACATAATATTTTTATAAGTTTGGAGGCAACAGGGATTGTAAGATGAGTGATAGTCTTCACTCCCACAGAAGGTTTGAGTGAATCCCTGGCATTTTTATTTATTTAAGGAATTCTGCTAGGTGTTTTGGGGAGCAGCTAGGCTATCTGTCAAGCACATAGGTATCTGTCTTCTTTATGTGCAAGTTGTGATGTGATAACACCAGAGGTACTGTACACAGGAAAATTGTGATGAACAGTTGAAGAAATAAATTATTAATTAATTGGCTTGCAACCATCTAGAAGTTCATGAAGTATCATTGCCAATATCTTCCATCTCTATCTCTTTTATTTCCTTTTTAATTTTTCCTTCTTCAGCCTCTTAGTTTCTTGCAATCACTTGTTCTATGTTGGTGAAAATCACATTTTTAATCCTTTGGGGACTGAAGTCTCACAGTGCTACTATATGAATCTTAGCAATTAATAATATTGAGGAGATTGATTACAATTTTTTTCTCAGTGGGAAAAGGAGACCAAGAGATAAAAACAGTTATCAGTTCTTGGTCTGATTAGTTTCTGAACATTTGCTCTGAAAATGGACTTGCTTAGCAAAGCAAGTCAAAGGAAATGACATCACAGAAGGCTAACATAGCCTTTTACTGCTAGTTAATTCAAACTGGTGTTCATTGATCTGGTTCTCTAGCACTGCTTTTCTACTTACTTGCCTGTCTTTAAGCAGGTTTTGTTTCTTTGTGTTTTCTGCAGGTCAGAATTAGCTTCCTGCTGTGATGCAGTTCACAATTTTATTGCTTCTCAAAACAACAGCCCACTGGGAAGTAACATGAGTTACGAAGTGGACAGTAAAAAGACTATCCTCATTACAGAGGACATTTTTAAGATGCTGCCTGTGGTAAGAACTGTATCTTTTTATTATAATAACTGTATCTTGTTATTATAATCACAGTGTATATATTTTGAGTTAGTAATTGAGATGCAGTGATTCCCCTGGAAGAGAACCATCAGCCCCTGTATGCACTTTATGCACTTCTTTATTCAGCTTGCAAGGTAGATTGTTTTGTCTTTCTTTTAGCCTTCCTCTGCAGTGGTAGAGGCATTTACAGATATCATAGATTGGAGGTAGAGTTGCTACAGAACACAAGCAGTGTCTGGCTTGGCAGCCATTTGAATTCAGGAGCAAATACTCTGAGAATGTTTGCCTTGCTTTTATCATTCCCGTTTTTAAAGGCATTTCAATCTGGAAGAACATTTCATGTTCCTCATGTGCCTATGCCATTTCCAGGCTTGGGCATGTAATTTATGAAAGATATTTTGGTGGTAAACCTGATACAGAATAGCATAGAACACAATAGAGCAGAACAGAAGAATGTCAGTTGGAAGGGACCCACAATGATCACATAGTCCTACTGCCTAATCAGTTCAGGGCTGACCAAATTAAAGCAAGTCATTAAGGACATGGTCTAAATGTCTCAAACATTAAATGTCTAAATGTCTAAAACATCAGCTGGGCACATCAACCACCTCTCTTGAAGCCTATTCCAGCAACTGACCATCCTCTTGGTAAAGAAATGCTTCCTAATGTCCAGTTGAAACCTCCTCTGGTGAAGCTTGAAACCATTCTGATGTGTCCTATCACTGGATGCAACAGAGAAGAGATCATCACCTTCCTCTCCCCTTCCCTTCCTCAGAGAGCAATGGGATTACCTGTTGTTTTGTCCAGACTATACGAGTACAAAGTCCTCAGCCACTTTCCATAGGACATTGTAGTGGTTTTAAATCATCAGCCAGTCTATCACAGGCATTCGTTCCAGTCCTTTCACTAGCTTTGTTACCTACTGGGGCAGGGTGTTTGCAGCCAGAAACACAAGATGAGAAAAGGCATCAGATTTTGTACCTCAGGATTACAATAGACATACAAGATCTTGAGACTAGACAAAGAATTTTTATTTGGTTTCTTGAACTTAAGAGCACATGGTATCCCTCTTACCCATCTCTGGCATTCTTGATTTTTGAGATCCAAGCTACCATGAGTCTAGTTCTTCCTAACACTGCTGTGAATCAGTCTTTACTGATTTAATTGCAATTTCCATTGAAATTTTGGATTTGATTCGAAATTTATCTGGAGAAATGAAAAAGTAATATGTTTTATGTACACATATACACACTAAGGTGGCCAGAATTGCCTGGTCTTTGTGTTTTCCTACCATCCTTTCAGAACTGAACAAAATATTTGAATATGTTATGTAATACATAGGCAATATGTTTGCCACTTCCCCTCACACTTTTTGCCTTGTTCATAACAGTGTTCCTTCTTGCTTCTCTTTTGGCAAGCTGATGAGAGAAAAAGGACAATGCTTTCCATAAGCAAGTTTTGACTCACTTTTACAACTGGGTTTAATTTCAGTAAAAATTTTTTACTTTGTTAAAAATATCCCAGCTGTTGGTCTCTGGTAACCGTCAGTGCTCCCACAGCAGAAGAGGTTGAGCAAGACATATGAAAAGTTTCTGAGACTGGGATAACAGCCAGCTATATTAACATCAATCTAAATAGCCAACAATGTACATTAATTTTCTAGGTTGTGAACTGTGCTGGTTCTCAAGTGGATGCACTTAGCTCCCACTCAGCTTCCCCACTGCAAGACAGCAAGCTGTAACAAGAAGAGGAGCAGAGAGGGTGAACAGCCAGAAACAGTAACCTCTTCAGTGAGGCTTCGCATGCACAAAGAGTTAAGCCAGGGCACATCATTATCCATTACAGCATCTTCAGGTTCCCCTGAATTTGTTACTCTGCTTCAAATGTAATTGTGTGATGACATAAGTAAGGAGAATTTATGAAGTTACCTTCTATTAGCTGAGAAAGTAAATTACTATATTACAACCCCCAGTCTGTTACAGTGAAAAGGAAATTGGGTAAAATTAAACCACTTCAGTATAAATTAGTTCCTTAGCTTGTCAAGGTTTCAATCTACTCCTAGATAATTTTAGTGTTAAGTATATTTAGAAGGTACCCAGTTTTAACAATCCAGTGTTATTCTCTCAAAGTTCTGATAGCAGAGGTAACAGTTGTCTGTCTGTTGGTGCCTATTTTTGGCTTTTGGCTGTCCAGGTTTGGAAATCCTGTCTGCTAAATGGTGAATGCTTTTACTGTGATTTACCAGATTAAACCTGAAAGAGCAAATAGACACAAAGAAACAATCAAAACACCTTATAAAGAATTGTCTGCATCTTTTTATTTGTTTGCAGTCCTCTCCTCTTTCAGTCTATCCCTTCAAGAACTGTGCTGTGGTTGGAAATGGAGGCATTCTGAAAAATTCCAGCTGTGGAGCTGAAATCGATAGCTCTGACTTTGTTTTCAGGTAAGAGCTGCTTCATATTCCTGAAGTGTGTCCAACATTCTAAAAACTTGGCAGAATTGGAAGTGTGTCAATGCCAGTTTGTAGCAATGAGGAAGGATCTTGACAATTCTTTATTTCTGCCTCTTTAAGGATACTTCTGCTTTGTTGCTTTCTAATTAAAGAGCAGGCTGGATGATACATGTATGTTCTGTGATTGATAAATCACCTTGCAGTGATGTGAAATGTGATTATCTGGGAACCTGACATTTCTGGTCCTTTAACATCCTTTAGGAGACTGGTGTTAAATGTCACATGAGTATCTCTGGTTTAACAAAGCATTTACTTAGCCATAGTTTGGCTCACACATGTAGCTACTTAATTGCCCCGATATTTGTTTCATCTGTTACTCATTTAAAATATTAAGCATCTATTTAAGTAGTGTTTTTAATCTCCCTGGGTAGAAAACCAGGCACACTCTGAGCGTAATTTTGCCTACTCTCTCAGTATGTGACTCACAGTTTGTAGTTCATGCAGAAAAACAGAGCAACAGAGGGAAGGTTCTTTTCTCAGTGATGTTCAATCACACATTCTGGATTTTGTTTCCTTTTCTTACTTTTTCCTAATATTTGGGCTTTTGAAAATCTAAAAAAAAAGAAAAAGTCTTTCCAGTTAGACAGCTATTTTAATGAAAATGGGAAATCTTTGTAGTAATATGCTAAACTTGCTAAGTAACTGAATTAAAAAAAAATACTTTCTTTACGTTTTACAGAAATCACTGTTTCTGCAGTAAGGCAACTTATGCTGTTGTTAGAAGACACAGTAGAAGACTTTCAGCAGAAATGCATTGTTTAGGCAAGAGGGGTAATAATTCCTAGCAGCCAGCATAGGGCATTCATAGACTGGCTTCTCCTGGGATTTTGACTGTGCTCCTGGTTTGTGATACAATTTATGAAAATGAGCTCTCTGTGCCCTATTTTAACCATCTGTACAGTAGATTAAATATCTTTATTAGAAGTGCTGTAAGCCTTATTTAATATTTGTAAAGTGCTTAGACATCCCTGGGAGCTGACATGAAAGTGTCATTGCACAAGAGAAGAATCTGCAAATAATAACTGTAAAGCATTTCTGGCACACATCTGTTTAAGCAAATGTTTCTCAATTTCAGGTGTAACCTCCCTCCAACCACAGGAAACATTAGCAAAGATGTTGGCAATAAAACAAACCTTGTGACTGTTAATCCGAGTATCATAGCTCAGAAGTGAGTACTACCGCAAATCTGTTTCTGTGCAATGGTGTATAATTGTTTAACATGATTTCGATTTTCATGGAAATCCATTGGGATACCAGCATAGAGAGCAGTACATGTAGATTACCTCATTAAGCCTTAGTTTTCATGTAAAATATGTACTAGTCTAAATGGAAATCTTCTAAACCTGGCCTTTTTTGTAGCATAAAGGAGTCAGCAATATCCAGATTAGCAAGAGCTTTGGATGATACTAGTCAACAATTTATGGCAGACTAAAATTGGTGATTGTAAGTCAAAGCCTCTTCTTTTCCCCCCATGACCTTCACAATCCCAAGCATTTAGAAAGGAATTGTAATCATAAATCAGGAAAGCCTGGAAATGTGTGTCCGACTCTATCAGCAGTACTGTGAGTGCATGTTCCTAGGTAATGTGCTTAGAGGCTGTTCTGATGAAGGCTGTTTCCTGAATGGAGGCCCAGCTTCTGTAATCCATTTTTAAAATCCGTATGAAGGCTTCTTGCTCACACACTTTTTTCTCAGAAGAGGTGGATTTTTTTCACCTTCTTGATGAAAAGAAAATCTAATAAGGCCAGCCTGACTAATCTGACATCTTCAGCAGGCTGGAACGGCAGCTTATCTATGAAAGGGACTGCTGTGCCATGTTATTTACTGCTTGCTAATCTTACTGTATCTTATTGTCTGTCATAACTGTATTGTCTAAAAGACAACATAAGGCAAAGCTTTTTTTTTCCCCTTGAAAGTAAGAAGGAAAAAGTGAGTACACAGAAATTATTAACAGACATTTTTCATTGATTCAGGGATAGAACTTCATTTTTTGCAGTGAGTACTAATTATGTTAATGCTTACCCAACCCTTTTTGACTTTAATGAAGACAAATTATTGCTTCTCCAAACATAGATTTAGCTCATTGATGTTAGTGGGCCTGCACAAGGATATAAGGAAAGAAAATTGTCCAATGACTCAGCATCCTTGGTGACTTCTGATCTGATCCACAATTTTTCTAGGCTTAATCAAAATATTCTGTACAGCTGCACTCATTTTTTAGCCAAATCAAGTCACACTAGGTTTAATAGGAGTTACACCGAAGGAAATGGGAGATAAACCTGTGGGAGAATTAAGTGAGAGTTTAAGATGACTTTATGATTTTAAAAAGAGTATTTATTTAAATATTCACAGAAAACTGTAAATGCTTTTGAAGAAGAAGCAGAAAACAACTTGGTACCATTTAGCAGAAATGGTACCAACTAGCAGAACCAAATTTCTTTCTTCTCTCAGAAGACCTATCCAGACATTAGTAATTTCTAATTCTTTGTTTGCATTCTGGCTTAGTCTGATGTTATTATTAAGGTTAATCAGCTTTTGAACTGTTTGTTCAAACGTAGGTGAACACTCTTGGAGAAAAGCACAGTTCTTGCGTATCCTAATGGAACTGAGCTACACTTCTCCTCAGAGTAGCAGAGCTGGAAAGGAGATTGAGACACTGTTGAGCTGTCCAGGTTTCTAGCTAAGAAAGAATAGAGATTTGAATTCTGTTCTAGGGGCTTAGTACTTTACATTGAGTAAAACCAGAGAAATTTCTTGTAGTGGAGGCCAGAAATTTCACCTTTTAGCCACTTTTCCTACACATAGGCTCAGGCATTTCTTGCTTGTTTTGGCTGTGTGACTCTAACATACACAGAGGTTCAGGGTCAATAGGAGGGCCTGAGTCTCTCTCATTCCTTTTGTTTCAGAGTCTGGTGGTAACAGCACTTTTCTGGGAAGCAGAAGCTATAAGTTTAAACCCTTTCAGGTTGAGAAGGGGTGTATCACTCCTTGCACTAATTTAGTCGTGCATGAGGTAACTCTTCCAATGAATGTTATGAATGGAAATGGCAGTGGTTGCTGTCCTCTGTCTTGAAGTGCTGCATGAAAAGAGGGTTTGAACCTATTCAGTTGTGAAGAGAAATGAAACCAATTTTTCCATCTTCTTCTGGAGTCATTTGCAAAAAGTGGATTCCAATAGCCTTTAAGAGGTGAAAATACACTGCTCAAATAGATGACTCCTACAAAAGAGGACTCAGTGCTTTGAGTCCCAAAGAGGGTGGAAGCTCCATATGTTTAGGTGATTCAGAAAAGTCTGATCTATAGAGGACATAAGTTGAGTGACCCCCTCGCTTGCATCACTTCTCAGATAACTTGGGAATTTCACTAGTCAGTATTTGAGAGCACAGAATTATGCAGTGGTGAGAGCTAAGTCTCTTTGCTCTTTGTTGAGGACCAAAAGCACCTGAGAATAAATCCTTGTCATATGTGAAGCTAGAGCTCTAAGTCTTTATAGATCTTTATAGATCTCCATGTGTTTCCTTCTAGTTGAAGGACATAAACAGGAATGCCTTTATTTTTAGCTATTTTAAAAGTATGTCCTGCCTTGAGCACACACTAATGCTCCAAGACTGCTCACCTGCATCCTTGGATTTCCACACAGGGCAGACAGAGATTTTTGTATACCTGTCAACGTAAGAAACACATTTCACAAACACATACAATACAGATTTTAGTACATGTATTTTCAAACAGAGAAAGTATGAGAACAATATTTTTTGGCATTCTTCTTAATTTCTTGGATTAATCAATTCTGTAAACATGTCCTAGTCTCATTAGCAGTCAATCTGAGCTTCAGTATCTCCTGTGTTGCCAGTTCAGACCTATGCAGTGTGTTCTTATTATCCAATAGTCATATTTTCATAGCTGCACATAGGACAACTTATAATAGGATGATAGAGATTTGCAGTGTAGACAGGCTGAAGTGCTGCAGCAGAGTTCATAGCACATCTTTGAAAGTGCAGTTGTGCTGTTCCAGTCTGTAATGTTTGTATCAATACTACATTCCATTCCTACAATTTTGTACTTTGCAGATACAACAAGCTAAATGAAAAGAAGACAGAATTTCTGGAAAACATTGCGGCCTATGGAGATGCTTTTCTTTTACTGCCAGCATTTTCCTTCAGAAGCAACACAGCCACTTCTTTTAAAGTATACCACACTCTGAAAGAGTTCAAAGCAACCCAAAGGGCAATATTTTTTCACCCCTCTTATCTGAAAAGTCTTGCCCAGTTCTGGAGAACTAAAGGTGTGAAAGCCTACCGGTTGTCATCTGGTTTTATGATCACTAGTGCTGCTCTTGAGCTGTGTGAGAATGTGAAGCTCTATGGTTTCTGGCCTTTCTCAAAATCCATAGAGAAGATGCCAATCAGCCACCACTATTATGACAACCAGCTGCCTAAACCGGGTTTCCATGCAATGCCCAAAGAATACAACCAGATCCTTCAGCTTCATGGCAAAGGCATTTTGAAGTTGCAGTTTGGTAAATGTGAATCAGACTAAAAAGGTAGGTCCTGTTCTTACCACATGAAATGTCTTTATTTCACTAATGTGCCAAGGGAAAACTTGTTTTACAAAGTGTAAGTTCTTCCTTAGAGAGACACTTCTACCTTACACTCAGTTAAACTCGTACTCCTGAGTGAAAGATTGGATCTTTCTGAATAAATATGTATCACAGAGTTGAGAAATGTTTTCTAGTTGTGAATACCATATGGGGAGCATAGCTAAGTACAAATTATCCCCATAATTTATAGTCAATCAGAAGTTTTTTCTTATCTCAGATACATCTCTGCCAACTTATGTTTGGTTTGGTATCAGTTCCTTTAAGAATTTAAGGTACCAGTCTCCTTTAAGAATTGCTTTATTAAAGGCATTCACACATCCAAAATGAGACACCTAATCATGGCACAGCCTTTCCAGGTGTGTACAGAGAGCAGAGTAAGAATGAGGGTTGTTCCATGAAGGGGAAGCATGCATCTATGGCCTCGTTGCCTCTTGTTAGGTAAAGATTTGAGCAGTGTGCGCTCATGGCCTGGGGCTGCAGAGCAGCTTGTGCATGGCAGTGAGGGAGCTGCCATACACTACAGCAGATCTTGCTGAGCATTTTACCTTGAGGCAGCTCAGAATCTGGGAGTTACAAACATAGGATGAAGTGTCATTCCTTTTCCTCTGTTCTTTCTGTCCCAACCCCTTGGACCTCTACCTTCTGTGTATTGCCTCAGAGAAATGCAACACAGTCTGGCTTCTGACCTTGAGCCAATTTACTGTGTACACACAGATGACTCTGAAAAGATTTGTCTGCATGTTTTCAATCTTGATTTGCCCTGTTGACAAAATAAGACCAATTTCTATGAATACTTCTTCATCTTTTAAGCTAACTCAGAAATTCCTAAGCTCACTATACTGTTGTCAGAGTCTTCTTTTACAGAACTCTATTTTTCCAGGGGGTACAAGTTCATATAATAGTAAGTGAAGTGTACAGTAGAACTACCATTGTATTCTATATACTTTAATTGGACTGATGTAATCTCATGACTATATTACTCAAGTTAAATAAATAGCATCATCTTGTTCAAGCCAGAAATTTCAAGTTGAAAAGCTAAGGGTGCTTTTCTTCTTGCTAGGTTCTGAAATGTACTTGAATATATCCTTTGTGATATTTAGAAAACATGTTGTCAAAGATACATTCACACTTAGTTTATCATCAGAGAATGCTAAGTTTTAAAATAGCAGATTGTTAATACGAGGAAGGGACAATTTTATTCAGTTTCAAGGGTTTTTTTAAGAAATAGAAAAATAAATGGCTTTCAGATTATTAGAATAATATAGAACCTATTCATAGGTGAAAAGGGACCTAGAATCCGTATAGTGAATCCATTCTCCTAGTCCATGACAGGAGATTACCTAGGGGGAGTTGAATTGTATATATATATGCAGTTTCATGTGGCAAAGATATGCTTTTTTTGCTTGTAAAAGGTTGCAGTATATTGGAAAGGTTAAGAAATACATAATGTATCTTTTCTTAGTGGCTAAGATGTTTATATCCAGCAGTTTCCATTGTATTTGTTATTCCTATAATATAAATCATTGGAGACAAACTGTGTAATTTTAATTGTAGGAACTACATGAGCTAAGAAAATGCAAGCCAACTCCTTAGAAAAATTTACTCTAGAGAGAAGCAGATAGAAGCCACAAAAATGTTTAAATATCTGTATATGTTAATTAAATGCTGTCCATGCTTGACAGACTGAAAATCACTTGTGGCCAAATTTGCCAAATAAGCTGTAAAGAAAAAAAACCAAACAAAACCACAAGAAGAATAAGTTGTGATGCCCTAATTTGCACTTATATTTACAAAGAGAAAACCAAAGGAATGCTTTCAGTATGAGTTACCATTCTTCTAGTATTATCAGCTATTAGAGATAATTGAAATTCTATAATGAGTATATTTTACTCAAGATGACCTTTTCTAAAAGTTGAACAATCTCCTTTCTCTTTTCAATTTCCATTTTAATTTCTCCATGCTCTGTGTTCTTCCCTCTTAGTGGGTAGCTGGAGGTTCCTTACACCTATGGGTGCCCACAGAAGGCTCAGGCAGAACCTCCCACACACATTACTGGACACAAAAGTTTGCTGCTGTAAATGAGGAGTGAAGGAAGCTTCTCTGCTGGGAGCACCTATGGGGAGAATATAATTGCATCCCAATGAGTCATTTTTGGCAATATTGCTCCTAAACACCATCCTTGCCATTGGAAAGGTGATTTTTGTCTTATTGGATAGAGGGAATTGTCAGATATGAGAGCCCTGTGGAGTCCCACAAGGTGGGAAATTCTGCCTTAATATCCTCTCGTGTACCTTTATGATTATGTTTAACAGACATGTACAGGTCGTCACTAAAGCTGGTGCCCACATTTCACAGAGGGTCAAACAGAAAATGCAGCAACAGCAAAATCTTGAAACATAATTAATGATCTTTATTATTTTGTATTAGATTACCAAATCATTTTTACTGTGGCCTCGCAGCTAAAGGAAGTTTTATTTGTTTTGTGGTTTAACCTGATAAGCCTGAAGGGCATGTCATTAGCTCCAAGTAAACGTAGGTTCAAGGAGGGGAAATGACCTGATTAATATTTTAAAATAGAAAAAAATCTGATTAGAAAAATTGTCAGATGATAAATTAATCAGGCTGGCATAAATTTGATTACCCAGAAGCCTGGTTAAAATGCAAATTTTGCCTGACCGAGAATCCATCAGGTTTTCTGTTTCCTAGGAAAAGACAGCAGGGCAGACGAGTATGTGTTGCTTTGACATACAAAGCAGTAACATTAAGCATCTGCTCAGAGAAGTCAGTCAACACAAACAAAAAAAACACAGAAAGGAAGAATGAAACTGAGACTCTGAGCCTGGGGAAGAAAACAGTCCTCAATTGTCTGAGCAGAAGGACTGAGGGAGGAGGGCTTGAGCAGAGGTGTGCAGGGGGTTAGGAAGTATGAACTGCTGAACTCTCCACTGTGTATCTTACCTGGAAAGTACAAAGTAGGTATGAGTTTTTTGACTCCAACCAAATGATTAAATGTGATTTGTTTCTGAAAGCGAGCAGCAATGACTCCCTCCACTCAAGGTGGAGCTGCCAGAGCAGCATCCTGTAAAGCAGGGGAAGGCCTGCTTACTTTCTCAGGAACTAACATAAAAATGAATAATTTTTTTCCAAACTCTGTCAGCATGTGATATTTTTTTGATCTTGAAATTTGCTACAATCTGAGTAAGTGATAAATACTATTACGTGTAACCTATTTATAACTGTAGAATACCAACACGAGCTTGAATTCTGTTGAAATTCTTCTATGCTTGTGGTGTCCCCATGTAGCTACAGAAATGAGAACTAACCCATAGTTCACTTTTAATTACCTTGAACAAAATGATACCATATTTTAAAATAAGGACACCTCTGGATTCTTGTCAGGCAGACAGATTGCAGACTATTTTTTGACTTGGGCAAATATTATCCAATGTGAAATTATTAGTTATTGAAAGAAATGTTTTCTGCCTTAGAACCCCTGCAGTACAGCTTTTAAGCACCTACTTTGCTCATGCATTCAGTGAATTAAATTAAAGTGTTAAGAATAATGTCAGTAATGAAACAAGTGGAGATAAATTGTTTCTGGTTTAGTTAAAACCTACCAGAATAGAAAAGTATATATTAAATCAAATTAGAATTTATGTTCAATTTCAGTTCAAATGAGGAAGTATTTACATATCTAGAAGGGTTTTATTTTGGTTTCCCACAGCAGAACTATCCCATTGAAGAAACAGAATAATTGCAATCTCTAGCAATTTCAAAATATGAATAAGATAATATAATTTAGAACATATCAATATTCAAATTAGCAATGAATGTGTCCCCATGAAGGTACTGGCTAGACCTAGCCTTGGTTAGCTTGGGAAGGCTGAAGAGTGTGGAGCAAGTGGGGTAAGTGCAAGCAGTTCTGGGGGTATTCAAATGAGGAGTCCTCCTTTAGAAAGATCAGCTGCTTGAGTTAGACCAAGCATGAGAATTCCAGCTTAGCTAGGAGAATTCTGAGAGCCTTTGATTCTGTATAATAGATTGCACAGACTCACAGCCTGAAATACAGATGAAAAGCTGATGCAGAAGATGCAATGCATACACAGAAGATTAAACTATCGGCTTATTTCAAGTATAACAAGCAGTTTTTCTGCTATTCAAGAAATACCAATAACATATTTTATTGTTTTAATTTCAGGGTGATGATCCTAAGGAGGCAATTTGTGTGTATCTCAGCAGTTCGGTGTTGGATTTGCTCTGATGTGATTTTGTGAGCATTAAACTGCATTATTACAATAGAGAAATATTTTACACTTGGGGGGAAAAGGGAGTGATTTTTTCACACAGTGACTGATACATTTAAAAATTTTGAGTAATCATTTTTTAAAATACAAAGTAACAATAATTTGGAAAATTCTGAAACTCCTTACTGCTGGTTTAATGGTAGCAAAGCACAATCTCAGGATGGTGGCAATACGTGACATTCATCATGTTTTGCTTCTTAGAGGATCATTAAAATATTTTGACATAAGTTCTCTGGTTTTGTTGATATCACATAGTATAGGCAATAGTCTCTGTATGGTGGCTGCATGAGTTGGCAGTGAATGTTTTCAATTAAGATCTTCATCCTGTAAATACAAATTCAGAGCCATGTCTTTCTTAGTTTGACCCAGGGTGCACAGATGAGAAAATCCCTCAGGTCAGAGGTAGTTAAGTGGTTTATGTGCTTTCATTTTGTGGGCAGTAAGTAGTGCTGTGGATTTAACAAGCTTTCATTTTGTGAGCAATAGATGATGCTGTGGATTTGATGGGATCACTCATATGAGTGATGTTAATTCTAAGAACAAGTGTATGAAGGACCAGAGCTTTATAATTATTTATAAACCACTCTGCTTGCTTGTGTTCCTGTATAAGGTCCAGTTCAGCTCCAAATGAGAACCGTGAACCTGGTTCCACACAACAATCCCCAGAGCATGACTTTGCACACATTCTTGCTATTGTAGCTCTGTGTCTTGTTTGATACATGAGATGGAATTTCCATTAGAAAGATGATGGGTACCAAGCCTATAATTCAATTTCTTTTCATGTAGTATAGCTTGTATTCATGTTACTACAGATAATGAAACTGCACTAAACATTATTAGAAGGATGATCCTTTTACCATCAACCCCAAGCTCTTCTATGCCAGGATGTATGAGAAAGCCAACTACATTCCCCTAATTTATACCTGTGTAGTTCCTTAAGTTTTCCATATGGTCCAAGAACACATATGGAGCAACACCCAGCAACAAGAGAAAGTGAAATATCAGCCCAGAGGAAAGAATCAGTTTAACTTTTACAGGAGCTTTGGCAAGCAGTTGTACCCTAGCTTTTACTGCTCTACTGCAGAAAAAAACCCCAACCAAGCAAGCAATCAAAATTTAAAAATTGTAATAACCAGTTTCTGTTAAGAGTTCCACTGATTATTTTGAGAATCCTTTGATTGGTAAGTTCAAAGACAGAGTGTCCTTCTTCTACAGTCAGATACTATCAGGTATTTTGTTTAGTACAATTCCTTTTGCTACTGCAGCATTAAATCCCAAATCAACTCATTTAAAGAGCATTCAGTATTCCACTCTTCCAGGATTATATCTGAAAAAAAAATTCCCACTTAAATGAATTGGACCTTATGAAATAAGGTTCAGAAAAGCCTTTTAAATGTATATTTCATAAGAGCATTACTGTATTGTAATATTTGAAAGCTTACCTTGGAGCAGTTTTATAATCACATAAACACTCCTGGAAGTATTAGAATCAATCATTATGGTTACAGGTCTGTTGATTGAGCATCTGGATCCATTTCCAAGATAATGATCTCAGAATCCAATATTCCTCCTACCCAAGCATAAGTGTCCATAAATTCTGATTACAGCTATCAGCAATAAAGTACATTTTTTTGAAAATAAGGGGTTTTAAAAAATACGTAGTGCTTTGGGGAAATAACTGATGCCACTAGTACACATGAGGTCCTCTGAGTGTCAGTAGAGCCTTTAACAGAAACAAAGACAGCAGAATTGAGCTGATGAGTCCATCTGCATTACCAACTGGTAACTGGAAGAGGGGAGCACAGGGGTTTTATTTATTCTGATCTGTTCCAGTTCCAGCACCACAATCTACATTTTTTCTTTCCCAGCAATAAAATTTTTGCCATTTTCTGGCCACAGGCATCTATTGCTCATGTGCGGACAGCTGGCTGCTGCAAGAACCTGCACCCATGTTATAGATGGTTGCCTACTGCAATATCCTAGCTATAGATCAAAGATAAATTTGCTCCCAAAAGACCTTCTCCTCTGCTGTAAATCACTCACATGGAGTGTTTCTAGTAGAAGCTGTGCAAAGTGATGTAGTTGTCCTTTGGGCGAAGCAAACAGCTGAGGTTGAGAACCTTGCTGCATTTCATCCAGACAGACAAAGGCCACCTGTGTTCATGTGAGGACTGTAACTTATTCCAGTCTAGTGTAGAGCAGTGAGGTGTTCTTGGCTGTGTAGCAGCTACATGGTTTGTCTTGGGAAAAATTCATGCATCTTTTACAGATTTTTACATTGCATCCAGAACAATTGCAAGTGCTCTATGTGCACATAGAGATAATGTAAGATCATTCATTGCTCAGACTAAATTCAGTTAACTACTCAGCATGAGTAAAGGGGAAAAAACTGATTGTGTGAAGTAGAAGATGGGGAGAGGAGAAAATGTAATTTATCTGCAGGGAAGAAACCACTTTTTTTCAAAAGCATTTGCTAATTAGTACCATGTTGCACTTAGTGAATAAGTATAAATAGTGTACCATGACACGCCATAAAGAGCTGAAGTTACTCTGTGTTGGAACTCTTTCTGTGCAGCTACATGATTTGAAACACGTGTATATTAGTAACTGGAAAGACCACCAGAATACATTTTAAGAGATGTTTATCCAAAAAGAGAAAGTCTATTCTGGCTTCCTTGATGAAAAGAGGTCTTAACTGAAGGAATGTGATGTAGCACTCACAACTGAGAGCAAGTGGAAATTTCTGTACTATGGGCAGCCACTGACTTTTTAGCACTGTTTCCACAAAGTTTAAACTTGCCAATGACTTGAAGACCTGATCTTCCATGCTCTCAAGGCTCTCAGTGATTTATGGAACACTGGGCTGATAAGAAATTCTTGACAGAAGTGTTGACCTTTCCTACCCTTTCCTACAACTGCTCTTAACTCTCTATAGAATAAAAATATACTCTGTCAGACTTTAGATTGAGATCCTCAGGCCTTGCTCCAGACATGAAGTTAGTATGAGATGTTAGTTGCATCCACTTCACTCTACAGGAGGGCAGATGTTGTACTTAGCCTTATTATAGCTACTGGTGCTGTGTGCGGGGTGGCTGGCTCGTGTTAATTCGGGTGCAGGCTGGGCAAGTTAGTAGTGGCATTTCTGCACCACAGGGTATCATCAGATTGCTCAAGACTTGCTGAAGTACACTCACTGTGGGAAATGATGTTTTCTTGGTTAGCTGAGTACATTATTTCTAGTTTATTTAAGACCTTTGCCAGGTTAATAATAGTAAATGGATTTTATACCTGGCTGGAAATGTTTATGACACTTTTGCAAGACTGAGTCAACATCAGTTTGGATTAAGGATTCTTGAGCTAAGGTTAGTAAGGACCTTTCAATTCTCTCTATTTCACATCAGAAATACTCATTTTTAGGATTTGTGGGCCTCCGATGCTGTCACATGCTGTGGAATGAATATTGAGATTAAATAGTTTTCTAAAGATAGAAACACTGACAATGTGCTAATATTTCCACTGTACCTTTTCAGACGCTGACAGTGTCCTTGCACAACTGCATCACAGCATCATTAGATTAAAGCCTGCCTTTTATTCCTTTTTCTCCTCAGAATCTCTAATGTTGCATCCTCCTTCAGCATCCAATGCTGTCTTGAGTTGGTTGTCTTTACCCTGTGGAGTGTTATGCAGCTCTTTTTAGTGTCTGTTAGGGAGTTTGTATGACTGAATCAAACACTGCTGTGCTTGCAGCATAATAAAACATTCTGTAAATGACTGGGTTTACACCTCAAGGAAGGCAGCTTGGTGTGATATTCACATTGCCTAACTGGAGCTGCTAAAGTTGGTCTGTAGCTGCATGGTGACTTAAGCTGGAATGGCTGCAAGGTCCATTCCCTGTCCTCGTGCTGCACCTCTCCCTTCATGCTGTGTCTGACCTCAGCCTGTCCCACACACAGCTGTTTTGGCATCCTGAGATGGCAAAACCCTACCATGGCAACAGAACAAGAAAATTGGTTCATGCCAAGAGATAGGGGAATTTCAGAGTCAAAGCAAAGGAGGGGGCAAGATCACTCAGGTGGAATTGTAGGGACACTGTAGGTGCCTTTTGTTATCCAACAGCTGTTGGACAGACCCAGTGGCCCCCTGAAAGCTTGACCACATCCAGAAGGTAACTTCTCTGAGGCTCTGCCTTGTCAGAATGGAGAGATGGGCCCCTGCAAGGGGGATTGGCAACACAGCAGCTGTTCAGGTGGGCCGGAGCCCATCTCTCCCTGTGGTGCCAGAAGGTGCTTAAGGCATCTACACTAAGGACTCTGGGTGCCAACACTGCTGATTATTGCTCACCCTTCTCTCCCATTACAGTCATTTTAACAAGCTGGCGACCCCAGTAGATTCAGAAATAAGCAGAAAAATTCTCAATTCACTGATGGTAAACTTGCATAAACTTGCTTGTTATTCAGCATGCCTTTGCTTTCAGTATCTTTTAATCCCAGCATCTAAAACAGCATCTGCAGAGAAAAGAGGTGAACAAGGCCTGAGGGGGTTGAGAGTTTGATTCTCTTTCCTTTGTGCATTAGTGAGATGACTGACATACCACCATGCTTGACAAAATATTAAATTCTCTGCCTTGAGTGACTCAGGAAAAGAAACGAAATTATCTAGGTGACTTCTGGCCTTCTGTGGCTCTCTAAAGCACTATCAAAATTTTCCTGTTAGGTATTAGTTGATTTTATTATGTCCAAATATCTGGATCAGTTAATTCATCTGGGTTAAATTGATCATGTACACCTTGAGCCTGCACAGACTCTGTGGTGGAGCTGCAGCCTACCACAGCAATCTAGGTTTAGATCCATTTGACCTAGAGATCTTTTTTTGTCTTTCACTTCCTCTCCTGTGACAAATTCGTGGAGGGAGGTTCTGAATATCCATGCAGTAGCTTCTCTAAGGACACTCAGGTCCACAAAGCACACATCCACCTGTATACAGGAGTCTATGAGATCAAACCCAAGGAATATTCTGTGGAGGACTTTATTTTGTAACAAGTCTGTCTCAAACAGCTAATAACCTCTTGCAGCATGCTTTGAAGCAGTAGGCTTCTTACACACAAGTCTTTTAGTTAAATGTATCTTAGTTTAAAATATTCAAAGCAGTTAATCCTTCATCTTGTGCTACTTGAGCAGCAGACTCTTTAGTCTCTAGGTCTGCTAGCCAACAACAGTGACAAGGGGGC